GATGCTGCGAGGCCTGTGTTGGGGAAATAGCTAAATTTACTGAAATGATGAACTTGATAATATTATTGTGTGTGTGTGTGTGTGTGTGTGTGTGTGTTTAGTGCAAACACTGAGCTCTGCCTGAACATCTGCTGTTCTGGAAACTCTCTATATTTCCTGTTTAATGAAGAGGATAAACCTGGTGCCGGTAAACTGAAGACGGGTTAGTCAGAGCAGTCAATACTGAGCCCTGTGTGTGTGTGTGGGTGTGTGTGTGTGCGCGCAGTTTACTGTCCAGCACAGCTCCAGTGTTAACATCATAACACACTATTCAAAACTCTACCAGGAACACTGGAGCAACACAGCCATGCAGGAATGAAGAGTTATGTAGAAAACACTGAGGAGAGCGCTCACTGGAGGATCACACACACACACACACACACACACACACACACACACACACACACACACACACACACACACACACACACAGACACACACACACACACACACAAACCACACACACACACTGTTTAAAGCTGATTTCTGCAGCGGTGTGTTTAGCATCTTCAACTGTCTGACTAATGAAGCCTCATTTCCTTCAAAAACAGGAATATTCTGCAAAAATAAATCATTAATATTCAGCAGTAAAATCCGTCAATATTCAGTAATAGTCATCTATATTCAGTGTTATTCATGCATGTTCAGTGATATTCAGCAGTAATTTTCATCTATATTCAGTAATTTTCATCTATATTCAGTGATATTCATGCAGCAGTGATATTCACCGGTGTTAGTCATCTATATTCAGGTGTATAGATGTATTCTATATATTCTATATGATGTTGTTGATCTATATCCCCGTGCTCCAGCAGCAGCGGGTGTGTCCGCCTCCTCCCCCGGGCCGCAGTGCTCCACTCACCCGCCGCACAGGCCTCCTCCGCCGCCTCCTCCTCCGCTAAACCCGCCGGTGTCCCCGGAGCTGCAGTCGGAGCCGGACTCGGGCTCGGGCGCGGGGCTCAGCAGGCGATGTCCGCAGCTCTGGCTCTTCCTGCGGCCCCCGATCAGCGCGTTCAGCTCCTTCCGCTTCTTCATCTTCTTCTGCGGGCTCATGGCGTGCGGCGGCCGGCAGCGGAGCTCATCAGAGCGGCCTCGGCTGGAGCTCCGGGCCGTGCGTGCGTGTGTGTGTGCGAGTGTGTGTGTGTGTGTGTGTGTGTGTCAGCCGCTCACCGCCACCATAATCCGCTACCGGTAATCTGACGGTATCCCAATGACAGTCGCTTTCTGAACTGACGCAATTATGAACACGACACAGGGCGACATAAACACCTATAACCGCTCCTGAAGATCTGCCATCAACAACACACCGCTGTCTTCCGTCCGAGACTGACAGGAAACGCCTTTGATTGGCGAAGCGCGCAGAGGGGCGTGTCATAGCAGACTGACGTCTTCAAACTTCAGAGGACCTGCAGGGGGCGCTCCATAAATATATACACTAGATATCGCATAGGGACCCAGAGCATGCGTCAATAGCGCCGCCATATTGGTACAGGGCTCCCAGGACAAGTGTCATTCAACCGCACTAGTCAAGACAGTGTTATTACGTGAAGATGCGGGACTTTAGCGCTGTCTACGGGTGTAGTAACGAGCAAACAAAGAAAACAAAGCACAAAGGCAGAACATTTCATAGGTAACTCCAACTCGCACTAAACACTCGGCTTATGCTAGTTTTGTTGAATAAAATCAGCAAATAATGCAAAAGAAACATGACAACGAGATGCTGCGCTACCAGAAACTGGTATTATTGTCGGCTAACGTTAGTGAAAGAGTCGTTCGGGGGATTCATTCACAAGCGAGTCGCTCCGTCAGTATGAGCAGTGAAAGCAGGAGAGGAGCTGTGTTCAGGACATGATTAGATCAAATTTAACAGGGAGGGTGAATAGTACATCTGTACACAAACACAAGCTTTTTGTCAGGAATGCCTGTGCGGTCACTGATCCATCAATGTAGAAAAGTGATGTAAAATTATAATTTTCGTAATTAGAAAAAAAAAATTACATACTAATATACTGTATTATTACATACTGTATATATCTATGGGGGCGCTCCATAGATATGTTGATTATATGTCGCCTACCCTGTTGTCTATTGGAAGGAATGCGTCAGTTGAGCCGCCATTTTGGAACAGGGTAGCGCTCCATTGAAATGAATGCGGGACCAAGGTACAGTGGAGGACTGTGGCCATCCAAAGCCAGAGATATTACACATATATCTATGATCGGGAGTTTTCCTGGACGTTAGTATGCAATTTTTTTTTTGAATTACAAAAAATTATAATTTTACATCACTTTTCTACATTGAAAAGAAACACACACACACACACACACACACACACACACACACACACACGCACACACACACACACACACACACACACACACACACACACACACACACACACACACACACACACACACACACACACACACACACAAGCA